AGCGGTAAAAGCAGTCTCTAATAATACATGGGCTGCGGATGGGAGAAGGTCTTGCGAGGATGGCTATGCATGATTGGTTTCTTACAAGTAGAGAAGTAGGAATACTAGGGTAAGAAGTTTCGAGGATGAGTTGAGAAAAAGCCTACGAAGTGTCGGATCTTGTAATTCGAAAAACGTAACAGTGGACGAAGAAGAAGCGACAAGTCCGATGGTACTGAGTGGATCTTCTGTGTGCATTACCCGAAGTCTTGAAAAGGCTTTTTTCCAGCATCGAGTGAATGATCCCAGTTCTGCCCCCCTTGTCCAGCACCTACCCATCCCGTCAGAGAGTTCGATATAGGTTTCCCTTCCCATGGCCTGCGTTAAAACTCCGCGGATAAACCTTATTCAAAAATCAGCCCGATTCAAAAAACGCAGGTATTAGTCGCAAAAGCCTTTAAACCTCGTTCAGACAAATCTTAATCATAATACGCTTATACGAAGGGCGATAATCAGAGTGTATTAAAGAGATAGTGGGGATATGGCTTAGCCCGATCGAGAAAAGGTCAAGAATCTGAAAGTATATTCTCATAGAAAGTCAAGCAATGTGTAAGTCAACCAATATGAGCTCGTCTAATCGATCTATATTGGAGAGCGAAGAGGAGGAGTGAAGCTTAATGGCCCAGATGCCGTAATTGCATCAACTCGCGGGTCTACTAGGCATCGATGTTCATGACGTGATCAGCTAATAGAAGGTAAATCTAATTTAAATATCACTGAGATAAAATGCTGCAATATTATCCCAAAACGCGCCGCTCTGGATAGAGCATTCATAAAACGCAGACTTGACTTCGACTTACCTTGGCTGTAGATTTACGTAAAAGTAACGCTTTATTGGTGAGACTGAATCCGACTTCGGTCTTCTGTAGATCCGACAACCACGCGGATATCTTTGATCGCACCCGCCCGCCATCATCGTCATCCAGCTCTAACTCCGATCTTGGCGGCGGGCGAACCTTCGTACTCTCTCTTAATTTACTTCTCTGACTTGATCTCTTCTTTGGCTTCTGCAGCTCTGGCGCGTCGAACTGGGTAGAATATGAAGCAGGTTCGTCAATCTGTTGAACCTGCATGGGAGGCGTAGAGGCATAAAAGTGCTTCGATAACGCAGAATGATGAAGCGGCCGCTGCAACAAGTGGTCAGCATGTGAAAATGTCTGTTCAGTAAGTCTGTGCAGTCCAGAGTACGGCGAGTAATCAGTTACCGCTGAGTAGCCAATACTGAGAGCTTTGGTTTGATACAATAGACAATAATAAATAAACAATTTTAAATAAAATTTTTTAATTCATTTTTAATTTATTTTTAAACAATAAAAAAAACTTTCGTAAATGGAATCATTGTAAAAAGAAGTCTATTTTAAGATTATTAGACATCAGATGTTATGTGATTGTCGCAAAAAAATTAGTCGTGAACCTTGATCGGACATAAATCTCAAGTGAATATTCAGCTAGCATTTTTAAACTAATTAAAGTCGTACTTATAGTAAACCTCCGATAGTTCGATTCAACTTATCCATTTGGAAGTATGGAGACGTCTTAAGACGAACGGAGAGAGATATGATAACACACTCACAATTCAACCCAAACATGAGGCCATTCTATGCACCTAATAGTGTCTGAAATCAGAGTTGTCACATTCTGAATTCACATCAGACGGTGCATGACTTTTCTTATTTGCCAGCGCGACATTATTAGAAAATAAGTTTCATTTAAGGTAATTATCCATTTTTTTTCTTTTCTTCAGTTTGTGTCGCTCTTTGTTAACGATCCATAAGGGGTGTGGACGTGCCAATTGAGCATAAGCGTTCTCGTGGACATAAAGGTTAGAAAGGATACTATTCATACTCGCATCTCTGAAATCAATCTCTCGCGTTTATAGACATGCCTCCAAGGCACCATCAGTGTATTAAGTTCATCTTGCAGATTATATATCTTGGGTCCTTCCAATATTGTGTTTGCTAATGAACTTGCTTCTACCCTTGCAGTAACCACTAGCCCTTTAGTGTAAAGTGTAGTTTTTGTAAACGAAGTTCGAAGAGAGTTTTTTTGATTAATATTAAGCCCAAAGCATGTATGACTGATGGGCTGCGGTCTCATGCGTTGACTTGATTAGGGATGATAGAATAATCAACCCGTGTGTGTGTGTGTTATTGTAGCGAGTCCTGAGGACTAATTACAGATTTTTCGATCAAATATGAAGGCCATTAGATGAGCTCGGCTCGTTTGTCACTGTACTGTGTTAGCAACGAGGTCATCGTGAAATTTGTGTGTTTTCTCTCAAGAGATCTAGAACGTTAACATACATGGGGCTTGGAATGGGAAAGAGCTATCTATGGATTGATTTAATTTTAAAAAATCATTAGCGATAATTGATCTCTTTTCAGGAACTATTCAATCTAAAAAATATAGGCAGCAAATAGGCATTTTTGTTTGAATGAGTTCATTTGTAAAACTAGTCTATACAGGAAAACATCTCTTCTTTAATAAAATGACCATCTAAATCGAAATTTTTGTGTAAGTAACAATAAATGAAAACTAGCAATTGATGGCTAATATCTCTTATATTCCAAAATTAGGACTAATGGCGGGATTAAGGCTGTCAAATTCTCATATATATGTGTGTTGAAATGTGAAAATATTTAGTATTAGTGATTTGATACATAAATATGAAAAATGAAAATTTTTTTATATAATGATCGGAGCCGGCTCGGAAGCGTTGTATACTGGTGATGGGAGTGGGATGATTTTTTAATGTAGAGAGGCCTTCGGAATGTACGACTGTCGAGGCTCTGATTAAGGCTGTACTGAGCTGAGTTTTGTGCGAGGTTGATCGAGAATGAATATATTATGGTCGTTGAATTAGATTGGTGAAATTATGAGAGTTAGCTATGATGCTATTCAATTTTGAAATAGTTCCTATATTTTATGCTTTGCTTAATGTTTGTGCATGTGCATTTCATACTTCCTAGTTCATTCGCTTGATGGTATGCTAGGTCCTTGCTTGATGGTCTGTCTCTTAACGATCATTATTGCTGACAGAATGTGAATGTAGATGAGGGTAAATGTTCTGTGTGTGTGTATTTTTTCCTCCGAGTTGGAAGTTTTATTAGTGTCAAAATGTTTGGTGAATAATTTAATTTTCCATTCCATAAGATATAATTGGTTTGCATTTTTTATGGTATTTCTCTTAAAACCAATACTCATACAAAATTAAAAATATCTTAATTACCAAAAATAAAAATTTTCATCTCATTGTGGTATCATATGATTTATTGATATAAAGGATAACACCATAACAATTAGGAAGCGAGTTATATCGTCAAGAAAAATAGCTACAATTACCCCTTCGCCGCCCGTTTGTTTTATTCCAAATTAGTAAAAATAAAATTCATAAATACAGAAACAGGCGACTGAACCAAACGTCTATTGCGCTAACAAGTTAAAAAACTCTTTAATATATTTAACTTAAAAAACAGTTCATTATAGACAGAAAGAAAAAAAAGAAAAAAAAAAAACTTAATCCTCGGGTTTACAGCTTGCTTAACAAGTTCTGATACCCCGAAAAAGCCTTATGATGAATTTTTATTTTATATCTGAAACATATGTATTTTAAGAGATAACAAACTTGGGTTTGTTAAAGAAAGTCGAGCCGGCTCGGCTCACTTACACCCCTAGACTCCTGTATCTCTTTGCATTCGCAACCACTTTGCTAAATTGGGACTTTCATGACAATCTCTTTGACTTCGTTTGGGACGGCTTTCTTATGCTTCTTAAAGCAGCTTCCTAATTCAAAAATTAAAATTGTTGTACTAGAAAGCTGCTTTAAGAAGCAGAAAAAAAACCGTCTGGAACGAAGCCTTTGTTAAGTCATCCTACCATTTCATTCTTCGAATGCTCCACTGGCGCCCTTGAAGGTTCATCTTTCCATATGTTGATGAACACCCTCCTTCAGGCCTCATACACATAAATTTAAAGTTATTTATGAAGCTCGAATCATTGTATCAATTAGTATCCTCATATTTAAGAATTCTACTAAAAAGGTCTTACATAAAAGGCTCCTTTGATTTCGTGAAAGTAAAAATTACTTATAAAAAAGCAATTTTTTTTATTTTCTCTCTTAAGTATAAAATTGAAATCCCCATTTTCATGAAAAATTATTATGTGCGGAGTACACACCATCCGCACAAACACTAGATACCTAGCAGTACCCAGTAGTACCTAGCTAGATACCCAATACTTGTGCGGACGGTTCTTCCCATCCGCACTCCACACCTAATAATCTCTCCATGTTCATAGTCTAAAATCTATATTACAATATTATAGCAAAGCGTATAATTAGTGGTGATATTGCATAGGGTGGGTCGCATTCGATCACTCATCTTCATTGAAATAAAATGTATAAAATAAACTTTGCCTAATAGTATTAATATTATATATGCAACACGCTAGACACAGAAAGCAACGAATAGAAAGGGGAAGCATAGAAAATAAAGCAGTAGAAGGGTTGCAATTAAAAAAAATTACAAATATAACACTGAAAGTTTTCTCATTAATATATTTAATATCTAAATTTTATTATTTCTATAATATATCACATAATTAAAAAATTTAAATTTTGATAATAAAAAACTGCTTTAAAAAAATATTTATTCCAAACAAAACCAAAGTCACGCAGTAGATCTAGCCTCTCACAAAGAAGTGACCAGCAATCACGCTGGAGAAGTTATCAACAAGAGCAGCAATATCACGAGATTTGCAAATTTAAGACAAAATAAGAAATGGGATTTAAGATTTGATAGGATGAAAAGTTGTCGTTTTTGCTGTTTGGTAAAATTAGATTAATGCGAAGGGGGAAAAAGACAAGTCGGGGCTCTGCTAGGGTTTCGTTTTTTTTTCCTAGCCGCCGGTTCCACTGGTTCTTCTTCCTCCCTTTTCCCTCTTCCGGCTTTGCCGGAGGAGCCATGGCCAACTTCTCTTCTTCTCCAGAGGAGTTTCCTCCTCTCTCCTCCAAGGTATCTCCGCCTATTTCTGCTCCGGCTCTTAGCTACAGCAATATTGTGGCGACTCCTCGTCCTGGGAACGCATTTCAGCTCTCTTCATCGATTGCTATCGATGATCCTTTGGACTTTAATGAACCTCAAGTTAAAGCTGCTAAAGAAGAGTGGGGGCTGTCGTTGATCGGCTACTCCATAGGTAGACGTCCATATTACGAATCTCTGCTTTCAGCCATGCGTAAGTTATGGAAGATGAAAGGTATGATGAAATTGCTCTCTTTAAGTGATGGTTTCTTCATGCTCAAGTTTTCGGCTCAGGAAGATTATGATATGGTTTTGGCGGGTGGTGTTTGGTTTTTGCTTGGTAAACCTTTTGTTTTACAAAAATGGGTTCCCAATTTCAAACCGGTGAGGGAAGAATTTTCCTCTATTCCGATCTGGTTCAAAATAATTGATCTTCCTCTTCCTTGCTGGACTCCGGAGGGTATTTCTCGGATTGCTAGCAAAATCGGGAAGCCGTTAGTGGTGGATGATCTCACTGCCGAGAAGACTAGACTTACGTATGCACGTGTTTGTGTCCAGGTTACTAAGGATTGTGCTTACCCTGAGTCTATTCCAATTACAATTTTAGGGGAACCTTTTACTCTCAAAATTCAATATGAATGGAAACCCATTCCTTGTCAACACTGCGGCTCTATTGTTCATTCACCTGAGTTCTGTCCAGCAAAACCGCCTTCTTCTCAGCCGGATGTTCATATACCAGAGCGGGGGAGGAGTAACAGTCGCAAGCCACCAAGACCTTCACAAAGAAACTCCTCTAACAATTCCACCAGACAGAACATTCCTTCTTCTTCATCAGATGGCCTTAATTCTGCGCAAGCGGCTAGTCAGGCCGAAACAGCTTGTATCGACTCAGACTACTGCAAATATTATTCAAACTCCTGCTAGCTCCATCCCCTCCACTTCTCAGATCCCAACTGTTGTTAATCCTCTTAACAACACACAGGTTCCGTTTTCCAGCATTCCAAACTTAAATTCACCCACTGATGAATCCCCCATCACTACTTCCAACATGATTCCCCAACAGCAAGACAAGGTCATCTCTCCTAATAAATTCGCCCTATTGGAAGAAAGCAATAGTGCTATGGATCAGACATCATCCTCATCTTCTAGTCAAGAACAGTCAAGGAATGTTTCTCAATCTCAAACAAAAGCTTCTAGGGGTAAAGCATCCAAAAAAACCCCTAATCATTCTACTAAATCCAAATGACCCCTCCTCGTTTGGCGGCTTGGAACGTGAGAGGTTTTAATAGCCCTGAGAAGGTTAGGGCTTGTAAGGATTTAGTTCGTAGTCATAATCTTGACTTGATTTGTGTCTTGGAAAACAGAATTCATAATAGTGCTTTTATGGATCCTTGGTTCCGTCTTAATCACGAAATTTTTGAAAGTGAAGAAAGTTGCCATAACTTCAACTTGTCTAATTCTGGAAGAATTTGGGTGAAATGGAATTCTCTTCACATTCACTTCATTCCTAACACTTGCACGTCTCAGCTGATTTCTGGGGATCTGTATAGTGGTAATGAATTTTTATGTGTCCTGTCGGTCATTTATGCTTCTAATGCTCAAGCTGATAGACTAATTCTTTGGGATAAGATTAGGGAGATTGGGGCAAATATTTCTTCTCCTTGGCTGCTTCTTGGAGATTTCAACTGTTGTTTGCATGCTGAAGAAAAATCTGGTGGTTCTCCTCTTCTTGCTTCTCACATGTGGGATTTTAAATCTCTCAATTTTGATTTGGGATTGTTTGACTTGGCTTCGCATGGCTTAAAGTTTTCTTGGTTTAACCAAAGGGTTAATGATCCTATACATCTGAAGTTGGACAGAATGCTTATCAATGATAAATGGCTGGAATCTTTCCCTTCCTCTCGTTATGAGGTGTTGCCTCCTGCTTGTTCGGATCACTCCCCCATTGTTCTCCACAGTTTTCAGTCAGTAAATGGGAAGCATCGTTTTATTTTTAAAAATTTCTGGACAAAAAAAGATGGTTTTTGGGCTGAACTTCTTGATGTTTTTTCACAACCTATCAGTGGTAACCCCATCTTGGGGTTTTATAGCAAGCTTAAAAGACTTAAGGAAAACATTAAAGGTAAAGATTGGACCAACTCTAGTCTCTTGTCTTCTCAGTTTAATTCTCTCAAGGATCAACAATCTTGTTGTTTAGACTTGCTCAATAATGATCCTCAAAACTTAGCTTTGAATCAAAGGTTGAAAGGTATTAATGCTCAACTTGCTGATTGTTCTTCTTCTTGGACCAATTGGATGCTTCAAAGAGCCAAAATTAAATGGCTTTCTCAAGGAGAGGATGACTTGAAGTTTCTTTATACAAGAGTGCGGAAGAGAAGGAATATCTGTTCTTCTAACTTGGTGGCTTCTGACGACCCTGCTGAGAGGGTTAATGTGGTTAACTCTATCATTTCTCATTTTGAGAATTTGTTTAATACCCCAAAACCGATTGCTTTTTGTGATCCTCTACCCATTCCTGAAGGTAATATTATTACCGCACATCTCTCATCTTTGCTTATTGAGCCAATTTCTGATAATGATATTAAGGCTGTTATCTTTAATGGGGATTCTAACTCAAGTCCAGGCCCTGACGGATTTAATTTTGAGTTTTATAAATCTACATGGCTTTTTACTGGTCCTTTGATTTGCAAAGCGGTTAAATCTTTCTTTTCTAAAGGATATCTTCCCAACTTTGTTAAGGCTTCGGCTATTGCTCTTATCCCCAAACATGCTCATGCCTCTAACATTTCGGATTTCAGACCCATTGCTCTTTGTAATGTTTTTTACAAGATCATTTCTAAAATTTTGGCTTTGAGGATGAAGGAGATCATGCCTCTTATTATTGGTGAAAATCAAGTTGGTTTTATCAAAAACCGTATTGGGACAGATAATACTCTTCTTGCTGCTGAGATTCTATTGGACTTCAAAAAATCTGCAAAAATGAAACTTCTATGTGCTAAACTGGATATTCGTAAAGCTTTTGATTCTATATCTCGTGACTTCATTCTTGCCAGAATGAAACAGAAAGGTTTTCCTTCTACCTTTATTACTTGGATTAAAGCTTGCATTTCTGACATACCTTTCTCTATTTGTATTGATGGGGCTCTTGAAGGTTTTTTCAATTCATCTTCGGGTATTAGGCAAGGGTGTCCGCTGAGCCCTTATTTATTTTGTATTGCTATGGATGCTTTCTCTTGCATGATTGATAATCCTTCCTCGTCTGATAGATTCATTGGCATTCAAAGAAAGGACTTGGTTATCTCTCATTTACTCTATGCAGATGATCTTCTTATTTTTGGGGAAGCTTCCTTTCATAATTGTAAGGTTCTTACAGATATTCTGGAGGCTTTTGCAAATTTATCAGGGCTTGTGGTAAACCATGAAAAAAGCAAACTTATCATCTCTAAGTATATCCCCAATCCTTTGGATTTTTGTGAAGCTCTTAGCATTTCGTCTCATGGGGATAAAATGACATATCTTGGTATTCCCATTTCTGTTAAAAAATTATGTAAAACTGATTGGCAACCTCTTCTGAATACTATTTCTAACCATCTTGCTGGTTGGAAAGCAAGACTGCTGTCGTTTGCGGGTAGACTTCAATTTATTAAGTTCACGGTCTGCAATACCATTACCTACTGGATTAGAGGAACTATGCTGTCAAAATCTTGCATCAAGAGTCTTAGTAGGATGTGCTCTAGGTTTCTTTACTTTGGGGATGTGGAAGCCAGAAAACTTTTTATTATAGCATGGAAAAAAACGTGTAGACCCAAGTTTTTGGGTGGCCTGGGCATTCCGGACTTAGCTAGTTTACATTTTGCTAACTGCTGCTCTCTAGTTTTGAGATTTTATAATTCCAATTCCATGTTATTTAAGTTTTTAAATGCCAAATACGGTACCCCCTGGACTCCGGTTCTGAGCAAAGCCTCTTGTCTTTGGAGTGATATGAGTAAGACGGCTTTTCAGATAAAGCCTAACATTTGGTTTGCTCTTAATTTGAATAGCAGAATTTCTTTTCTTTGGGATCCATGGTTTTTTGGAAACAATATTATGGCTGAATTTGCGGTACATAATTTAATCAATTATTGCCCTTATCATGCCAAGATTTCTGATTATTTGAGAGATGATGTCTGGACGCTGCCTATGGTATTTCCTGTTTCTTGCATTTCTGCTCTACAGCAAGTTCCTTTTATTCATGGCTCTAAAGACACCTTATTATGGAAGGGTAGAGATATAAAAGGTTTTTCTTCCTTTATCAATTTTTATCATAGAGATGTGATTAAGGTGGATTGGTTTAATCTGGTTTGGCATAAGAGTTTTGCTTTGAGATATTCTTCTCATTTGTGGTTAGTTCTTAACAATGGCCTTAAAACAGCGGAGGAGCTCATTAAAAGGAATATTGTGGTTAACTCTATTTGTTCTCTTTGTTTTGCTCATGATGAAACAATTGGACATCTTTTCTTTGAATGCGATTATGCTTTCACGGTGCTGCAGTCCCTCATTCCTATGGTGGGAAACTTTCTGTTAAGGCCAAGGCTAAACCAAGTCTTACAATTGTTGGGTGAGCAGAATTATATGATTAAAAATCAAAAAGAATTTCTTTTGCTCACTGTGAGTTGTTCATCTTACCATATTTGAAGAGAAAGGAATCAAAGGAGGTTCAATGGGAAGTTTAGATGTTCCTCTTCTCTTTCCTTAACCATTAAAAGCGCCATTGATGCAAAAATTGGTAACTGGAAGAATTCAGAGAAGCTTAGAATTCCTTGGCATGATTAAAGGAACTCGGTTGAGGTGCTTATTGCGGAATTTGGTGTTTACTGGGCATTCATCTTGATGATTTCTGGATGTCACTATTGGCTGGATTACTGGTTGTTCGAATTCTGTGCAAGGACGATGATGTAGCTGCTAATCATCTCCTTGGAGGGCCTTTTCACTTTGGGCAACCAGGAGATTTTTGTGTCGTGGCTGCCGGTTTTCAGTAAGTTTATTTGCGATTAGCAGTCTGAGTCCTTTAGATGCTTTTGCATCTAAGTTTTGTGGACTGTCTTTACTTTAGTTCTTTTTTATTCTTGTTCTCATGGGGGGGTATATGTTTTTGGTTTTTCCTCATAATTTGAGGTTAAACCTTTTTTGGTATACCTTACTTGTAACTTCTTTTTTCATGGTAATATATGGGCTTCTGCCCTCATTTTCCCAAAAAAAAAAAAAATTAGATTAATGCTTCTTTTTAGATGGTTTTTTTATTGCTTTTTAAAATAATATTTTAGGTAAAAAATTAAAAATTTTGTATTAAAAAACTGCTTTAAACAACAAAAAAATTGTCCTAAATGAAGCATAAATCTTACTTAAATCCTACTTGAAGTCAAAGTTGTGAACGAGATAATCGTAATATTTGATATATCATCAAAAAATTATCTTGATCGGGCACGAATCTCAAGGCAAAAAAAGCCGGAAACTTCAAAAATTAAATCTGGGATCACCCGAACTCCGATTTCAGCAAACTTACAATCAAACTGAGCATCTCGAAAATACGAACCCAAGGACACCAAATTCAACTCAATCTGAGCCCAAATGAGTCCGAATCGAAGACCTGAAGCGTTGTTGGCAGGTTCAAACCACAATTTGGATTACCAAAAGGTTTCCAAACATGACATGCTTATAGTCGAATCGAGCGGCTCGACGAGACGAATCCAACGAGCCCAAGATCACCGAATTCCGATATCATTAAGACCTTCATATGTCTGACAAACGGTCCACGATCAAGGGATTCAATATTGGCCGTCCATTCAAATCACTCCACATTTGCCCTTGATCCTCTTCCTATTTATAGGTCATGTCATCCTTAGAAATCTATAAATAGACCTCTCATTTCTCTTGAGAGAGGAGACAAGAAGGAAGAAGAAGAAGAGAATGATAGGAGGGAAAAAACTCCTCGACCACCGCCGGAATTCTGCCCAGCGCCCGAGTGACGCTGGAATTATGCCCGACGCCCAAGTGCCGTCGGAATTCTGCCTAACGCCCGAGTGATGCCGAAATTTTGCCCGACGCCCAAGTTACGTCGGAATTCTGATAGACGCCCGAGTGACGCCGGAACTCTGCATGATCTCCAAGTGACTCTGGAGTTTTGCCCGAATACCATCTAACGTCGGAGTTCTCCCCGGCCGCCGACTGAATTCGGACTTCTACCCAACGATGGTCCTCCGCTCGTCGCCATATTTCTACCCGACGCTGGACTTATGCCCATTGTCGAGTTTTCGCCAAACATCTATCCGATGTTGGATTTATGTTCATTACTGGACTTCTACCTGACACAGTCCTTCCGACCTCCATCGCTAGACAACGGTCTTTATGACCTCGCCCGCCGACTACGGTCCTTCTGACTTACGTCGTCCACCGATTACAGTCCTTCCAACCTTCGTCGCCAGCCGACTACAATCCTTCTGACTTACGTCGCCCACCGACTACAATCATTACGACCTTCGTCGCCCGCCGACTACGTTCCTTCTGACTTACGTCGCCCACCGACTACAGTCCTTCCGACCTCCGTCGTCCCCCGACTACGATCCTTCCGACCTCTGGCGCCTGCCGACTACAGTCCTTCCGATCTCCGTTGTCCCCCGACTACGATCCTTCCGACCTATATCACCTACCGACTACGGTCCTGACTTACGTCGCCCACCGACTACAATCCTTCTGACCAAACAAACACATCAACAATGATTCTTTGTATTCACCTCATATAATGTACTGTATAATATATACATCAAGCTAAGGTCTTCCCCAAGGAAGGGCCTCATTTGTAATCAACTGCAAATAATAGTGGATTCATTCAAACTGAGCTAGGCCCCATGTTTTTTCCCCCTTTTCAGGGATTTTTCACATAAAAATCTTGATGTCTCATAAATGCTACACCCTCTCTATTATTTGATTGCGTGCCGAATTTTCGCACAATGCTAAGACGCTAAACTTTATTTTTCTCTACCGCCGCGGATACTCCAAGATGCAACAATATTAATCTTCGTTTGGGATAATTTTCTTAAGGCTTTTTATAACAACTTCTAATACAAAAATTTTTTTCGCCCAACGCTAAGACGCTAAACTTTATTTTTCTCTACCGCCGCGGATACTCCAAGATGCAACAATATTAATCTTCGTTTGGGATAATTTTCTTAAGGCTTTTTATAACAACTTCTAATACAAAAATTTTTTGAACTAAAAATTTTCATACTAAAAAATTACTTTAAAAAGTAATACGAAAACTGTTCCAAACCAAAGCCTTATTGTACAATGAAGAAGCGACGTTACTTTCAACAGCTTCAAGTTCTAGTCATCCGAAGCAACACTACTGCTGTTTAGGGTAAATGTCAGCAACATTAAAGGTGGAGGAAGTCTGAAAGCTGGCTGCAATCGGATAACAATAGGCCATTGTCTTATCTACACCAAAAAATAGGAAAAGGACCATCTTTGAGTGGATTGAGTTAGTAATAAGACCCAATAAAATCGCTCTCAGCGTACACGCACCTCACTGGATTCCGGATGGAATATTTTGTGCTGTGATGAAATATCAGCTATGTTTTACTTATAATTAGTTTCATAATTTGGCCTGGACCTTCCAGCACAATGTTTGTTGATTGTTCGGTGTTTACGCTGTAGTACTGCGACACTTAGATAGGAATGGCAAACAATCAATTAAGTGGCTTGGCATTTTAAGGGCAGTAGTATCCATGGATCTATTCAGGCATCGGATTGAACTGCAAATCACGCTTGACTCAGTAGTAGCTCCTCCATTTCTTCGAATGTTGTTGAATAAAAAATGCAACATGTTTCCAAGAGTAACAATGACCATCGTCCATCCGACGTTAGATTGCGGATGATCAAGGCTAAAGATGAGTTTAGTTCGTTGAAGACGTTTCCACAATTCTTCCAAAATTGGTTATGAATTTCATCGTTCACGATCAATGTGAGACTTCATCGGTAGTCATGTAAGCACACATTTCTTTGAAAGAAAGACACACATTAAGTGCATCGAATGTCTTTTTACACGGGAATAAAAATGAGCTGTTTTGGAAAACCTCTTCGACAATAATCCAATAGAATCAGCTCCACTTTTTGTCCAAGCGAAGGCCCAAGACAAAATCAATACTCAAGTAAT